AAGAGTGTATTGTGCATTTCCCCCTAAAATGTGTCTGTGTTTGTTTTAATAGAAATAGATTTCCTTTCCTTCCCCTCAACATATCTTCAGGGCAAAATGGGCCCTTCGGGAAGAAGAGCCATGTTTTCCCAATGCTTTGGGGTGCTCCGCTGAATGCGTCCTAGAGCGAGTAACCAGGGAGGCACTTGGAGGGGAACTGCAGCAAACCGGGCGTGAAAGCACAGAGGCAGCTCGGCTATTCCCAGGAAGCCCCCGTGGGGCCACAAGTGCTCCCAGTCAATCACCTAATGCAGCTGGGCTGGGGGAACAGAAAATCCTGGAATAACCAAAATACTGTAACTTCAAGACAGTCCTGTTTAATCCAAGAAAAAAACCAAGCAGCTATAGTCTTTGTTTAAACACCACCATGCTTGATACCTTCACCTAGAGGAAAAAAGCACTGATCTTATAAACTCCTTAGGGGAAGAAATATGGTCAAAGGCAAAGGTTGGCACATAGTAGGTGTGCAAAACAATTTTTCTGAAAGGGAATCAATGGACTGGACTATATTATTAAATTGAAAAGTTTTTTCCTTTAAATTTTCTTCAAAAGGAGGCACTTCCAGTGATGGCCAGCAGATGGCACTGTGTTGTAAAGCATTGGACAAATTTGAAGCCTGCAGACCTTCCCAAATTGGTTTCCACTTCTGTAAGATAAGGTAGTAGTTTACTGTCATTGTGTATGTAGGGTAGGATATGGTGACAGCTGCTCATAAGGCACCAGCAAAAATTCTCCTCCTCCATTCTGCAAAACCAGGTTCTAGTCCTGCTTCTGCCACCTCCTGGCTGTGTGACCTTGAAAAAATTGCCTGCAGTCTCTGTGCAAAAGGCAGGACAGGATGGATTCCAGGATCTCTCCTAGCAAGGACTGCTCATGGAAGGAGCCCACCTCCAGGACACTTGCCCTGTCCCCTTCTGATCCTCAATGGGCAGTCAGCTCTCAAAACAGGTGGAGGGAGACTCAAATACCTCCAGAAGCGCCCAGGGAGAGGGCACCCAGGTAGGCTGGACAGAAGGGCTGCAGCAAGAGGTAGTTAGTGGAACCATGCAAAGGACTCACCTGGAAAGATAAACTGCTGTCTATGATGAATGAAGGAGGCAGCTTTAAACAGAAGAGGAAGTGAGTCACACACACAGAACGGCAAACTCAGCAAGGGAGGAGGGAACACAGGCATCAGCTCGGGAGATACGGGCTTGTTATTGGGCTGGGACAGCCCTGCCCCAGGTGGGCCTGGCAGGGGCAGGCTGAGCCATGCAGGAAGGACGGAAAGAGCTGGGAGGAAACGGGCCCCGCAGGAGCCTCCAGGAGTAAAGGGGCTGGGGCGGGCGGCCTGGCGGTTCCGAGACCCAGTCTCAGCGGCCACCCTGCTGCAGAGGCCGGGCCAGTGCCCTGCTCTGCGACATGCACTGGAGCCCGGGAGGGCAACGTACAATGTGGGAGAAAACAGTGATCACGACAAAGTGTAACAGTGTTGTGTGCAGAAGACGGGCCCCACCTTCACCCCCAGAGTGTCACCCCCAACACAAGATTTTTTCCCCCTCTCTTAAGGGGAACCGAAAGGAACACACTGGACTTCTGGAATCTGACACAGCATGTTCTAGCCTCCACTCTGCCACTTACTAGGCTCTGGGACCTTGGCAAGTTAGTTACCCTCTCTGGTTGTCTCACTGTAAAACGTAGCTACACATACAATCCTGCTCCGCCTAATGACATTTTTCAGTCAACGACAGGCCACATGTCTGATGGTGGCCCCGTAAGATTGTAACAGACCAGAAAACTTCCTGTCACCTAGTGACATTGTAGCCGTTGTCACGGAGTATTATTACCCATGTGTTTGTGATAATGCCGGTGTAAACGATCCTACTACACTGCCAGTTGTATCAAAGTATAGCACATACAATCATGTGCAGAACGTAACACCCAATGATAATAATAAATGACTGCGTTACTGGCTTGCGTATTTACTATACTTTTTATCATTATTAGAGTGTTCTCCTCCTGTTTATAATAAAAATGAAAGTAGGCTGTAAAAACAGCCTCAGGCAGGTCCTTCAAGAGGTGTTCCAGAAGAAGGCACTGTTATCGCAGGAGATGACAGCTCCACCAGTGTTACTGCCCCTTCCCGTGGGACAAGATGTGGAGGTGGAAGACGGTGGCATTGATGATCGTGACCCTGCATAGCTCTATGCTAATGTGTGCATTTGTGTCTCAGCTTTTAACAAAAAAGATTAAAAAGTAAAAAAAAAAAATTTTAAATTTAAAAAATAAAAAAGTTTATAGAAAAAGGATATACAGAAAAAATATTTTGGTACAGCTGTAAAATGTGTTTAAGCTAAGTGTTATTACAAAAGACTCAAAGTGAAAAAAAAATTTTTAAAGTTTATAAAGTCAAAAAGTTACAGCGAGCTAAGGTTAATTTATTATTGAAGAAAGAAAATTTCTAAAAATAAATTTAGTGCTCCCTACGTGTGCACAGGGCCTTCGCATTCACTCCCCACTCACGCCGAGCAAGTTACAGGCCTGTAAGCTGCGTGGCAGGCTCCCTGTATAGGTGTAGCATTTTTAATCTTTTATACAACATTTTTACTATACCTCTTCTATGTTTTCTTTTTCTTTTTTCTTTTTTTTGAGACAGAGCCTCACTCTGTTGCCTGGGCTAGAGTGCTGTGGCATCAGCCTAGCTCACAGCAACCTCAACCTCCTGGGCTCAAGCGATCCTGCTGCGTCAGCCTCCCGAGTAGCTGGGATTGCTGGGTGGCATGCGCCACCATGCCCGGCTAATTTTTCCTATATATATTTTTAGTTGGCCAATTATTTCTTCCTATTTTTAGTAGAGATGGGGTCTCGCTCTTGCTTAGGCTGGTTTCGAACTTCTGACCTTGAGCGATCCTCCCGCCTCGCTCGGTCTCCCAGAGTGCTAGGATTACAGGCGTGAGCCACCGCGCCCGGCCCCTCTTCTATGTTTAGATACACAAATGCCAGTGTGTTACAGTTGCCTACAGCACTCAGGACAGTCGCCTGCTGTGCAGGTTTGTGGCAACAGGCTGTGCCACGTAGCCTAGGTGTGCAGTAGGCTCTGCCATCGCTATGTTTCTGTGAGTACACAGGACGTTCCACACGACAACACTGCCTCACAGCGCATTTCTCAGCAGGTAACCCCCTTAGGAAGTGCTGTGACCCTAACCTTTTCCCAGGTTTAACCCTGAAGACCAAGTGCCATGCTGTCGTGCGTGCGGCACAGAGCAGGGGACGACAGGAGTTCCTTCCCAGATAGAGTACCGGGCAGCCCAGCCCTGAGGGCTTGGCCCAATTAGTGCTGCCAGGGCCAGAGAGATAAGATCTTGGAGAGGGGGAGGCCTCTGTATAGGGACAATGAGGGCCCAGTCCAGAGACATCGGGGAAAGCGGAGAAGGTCTGGCTGACATCACAAAAAGGCCCTTTTCTGTGGCTGTTGTTTTTCAAACAGGCCCTTCCTTTTAGAAAAACCCAAAGTAGGAGGTTAGCAAAGGCAGTTTCGGAGCGTAATAAGGACGGAGCAGAATGGGAGGGCAGGTTAATCAAATGGGCCATCGCTCACCTGCGGGAGGGGAGGGCGTGCTCAGGACAGGTGTTAATGTCACAGGATTCCCAGCCACGTGCATATGGAGGTGAAGGGACAGGCACAAGAGAAGAAAAGATTCCTACAAAACCTGGTGTCCCGCCACCCCTAAGAGCAGTCCCCCCAGAACCCTGGTGAGGCGGCCCAAGGCCCGGCCTCCTGCTGGCTCTGCGTGGCCCCAGCTGTGCTCCCCTGGCATGGTTAGAGCCGCACCTCTGTCCTCCAGGGCCTGGAGCCCCAGGGGCCAGTGGCAGGGGCCTGACCTGGACTCCACGGGCCGGGGACAGCCTGTGGCGGCCCGGAGCTGAGCGTCACTGCCGTCCTCCTTCCTCCAGGCCTGCAAACTGCAGAAGCTGAAGGCTGAGTCCAGCCTCGAGGAGCTGCTGGGGAGGCCACGGTGGCAGCTGAGCCCCAAAAGGGGCAAGTGGGCTTGGCTCTGCTCCTGGGAGAGGCGGCCCCGCCGGGCCTGGCCAGGAGGGGCTGAGGTCCTGACCTCTCCCCACGGAGCCCTGGGCAGCGGGGCTGCGGGGGGGAGCTGGAGTCAGCTCCGGCTTGGGCCTCTTGCTCTGCTCTTCCGTGGGACGCAGTGTCCTCAGCCACACCACGGGGACGACCTAAGCCCAGCTTCGCATGGGCTCCTTATTTTATGGAAAATGAACCAAGGGTCTCCTTGAAGTGGCTTACCCAGATCACAGAGCAGGTAGGCAGCAGGGCCCCTCTGCTAGGCCTCCTGGCTCACTGTGCTGCCTGCCACACCTCCTGGGAGCTCAGATGCCCGCCCTGAGTGAGTGAGCCATGCTCCAGAGGAGCCACCTGTGCACGGGAGGGCAGCGTGGGGGTTATGTTACATCATATGGTCTCAGGTTTGGTCCTTGCTGTGCTACTTCTGAGCAATACAACGCAGGGCAAGCCACTCCTGCTCTCTGAACCTCAGTGTTCCTGTCTGCAAAATGGGTACAATGACAGCATCACCCTCAGTGCTACCGTGCTCGAGGTGCTTGGCAAGTGCTCCATAAGCATCAGCTCTTTGTGGTAGTGGTGTTTGACCTTGAACCTGCCAGGGTCTGCTGAGAAGGGGGATCTGGTGGCTCCCCTGAGAACCCAGAAAAGCCGAGATGTGGTACCTGGGAAGTTGAACCTGCTGTCCCGCTGGCCAGGCGAGGGGTTGGGCGGCGTGGTAGCACTGGAGGGGTTGGACGACGTCGGGAAGGGCGCTGGCGAGGAAGGCGTGGAGGAGGTGGTGGAGGATGGGTTGCTGCTGGAGTCCAGGTGGTTCATGGCCGGAGGGTGCTCCTGCAGGACCAGAGGCGCTGGGGTGGGCAGGGCTGTCACCACCTGACCCGGGCTGCCTGCCCCGTGTCAGCACCCTCCCTTGCCCACTGAAAAGGAAGAGGTCAGCCCAGGGGATCCTCAGGGTCTTGCCCTTCGGCTGCCGTTGTATGGGCCTAGTATTTGAGCAAGGGGCGCACACAGAGACCCTCACCTCAATGTCCATCCGCTAGAGGACTCCCACTCATCTTTGTTCAGCCCAAGCATCCTTTCCCCCCAGAAGCCTTCCCTGAACCCCAGCCGGGTCCATGCTCCTCCTCTTTAGCCTCCCATAGCTCCCAGCGATTTTCCATAGGGGCACTTTTTCCTGCTGGACGTCATTCCCACCACACCGCGTGTGCTGTGAGGCCAATGCCTGCCTCTGAGTGAGACAAGTAGTAGGGTTTTATATAATAAAGTGAATTCAGCCTCTAACGCGTGTTTACGAGTAACGCCTGCTCTTGCCAGGTGCCCCGCAAAAAGTAAGGAGACTACGACAAGCCAGATGCAAATGGCCCTGTCTTTGCAGACCTTGTTGCCTCAAAGGCACTGGGAACTCTAGGAACCCACGTTAAGCTGCAAAGCCAGTGAGGGCCGGTGCTGTCTGCCACTGTGGAGGGGTGAAAAATTCCAGAGCTGGAATGAACTTTCTAGAAGATAACTGCAAGAGTTGGTTTGTCGGGACAAACCTGGTTCGCTCCTGCTGTCCCAACTTAAATGATAATGTCATCCCTTACCCACGCAAAAGCAAGCACAGTCCCCCCTACTAATAGATCACGCCAGTCAGAGCCTGCCAGAGGGTTCACGCATGTCTGGTGGCCCACAAGGGGACTTTAAGAGGCCCTTGGACACACCATGGGGACACTGAGCCACGAAGAAAGAGTGTTCTTTTCTCCCTTGTCCTGCACGAAGGTCTCAGTCCCTGCCGCTGTGTCCTGAAGGCCTCCCCACACCGGCCAGGCAAGTTAACAAAGACTGAAGGTGTCAAGCTCCGAGCCGTAAGCAAGCATGGTATCTAGATGGAATTTAGTACCTTTTGGTTTAAACTATATTGATTTTAATGATTACCTTCTCTCTATGGAGATGGTGGATTTTCCAATTATGACAGTGATGATTACATAAAAACGAATTCTTACATGTAAACATTAACCCAGGGGGTACCCGGTTAAGGCAGAAACCATGAAGACGCTTTGCAACTTGATGATTCTAGCATCGGCTCTCCCCATACTACGCACCACCCCAGCCCCACGCCAGAGCTCAGGGCCCGGGGCGGCGAGCGGCTCTGCCCACGGTCATGGGGGACAGGCCTGGCTGGATCCCAGCTCTGGGCTTCCTTCTGACCAGGGCTCCCCGGGCCACAGCACAGAGGAAACCCCGAGAATAGCAGCAGCATCTCCCAGCCGAGAGCGAGCACCTGGGGGAGGACGCAGAGCGCTCTGGGGACGGGGTGCTGCACTCGAGTTGGGGAGGCCCAAGCTCAGACTTCTCGGCAGAAACAGCAGCGGGCTTGGAGGCAGATTAACTGCAATTCTCACCCAGCTCTGTCACCTCTGAGCTGGGTGACTGGGCAACTTCCTTCACCTCTCTGAGCTCTCATTTCCTCAACCACGAAATGAAGACATCCACACCTATGTCAGAGGGTGGCTGTATTAGCAGCTTCACAAAGGTGAGTGTGTGGTACACAGTAGGTGACTAATAAATGCTTGTGCCACTCTTCTGCTGACCTGCTAGCCAGGAGCACCCAGTGGTTTGGGCCTAGGCTACCAGCAGACAGAAGGCTGCGGGGTTCCATGTTAGGCAGGACCCCGGATATGATGGGTGTCCCCCAGCCCCAAAAATCAGGTCCTGGGAGGGGTAGAAGAGGAATTTCTTGGTCAAAAGCGTTGGGGCCAAGTTGGGTCAAACGCCAAGTTCCGCAGGTGACTCTTCCGCGGGCCCTGAAGGCTCTGGGTGGCAGTGAACTCCAGGGACAGCTGACACAACGTGGTGCCAAGCTAAGAAGGGGGCTGGGCCACTGACCCCTTGCTCTGCTCCTCACACCCCAGGGCTCCGTCGGCTCAGGGGCCGAGCAGGTGCGTGCAGGAGGTGGGACTGAGAGTCCCGAGCCGAGAGCAGGGCCGAGGAGCGGCGCCCAGCTGGGCGGAGGTGCGGGAGTGAATGCGCCAGGGCACGAAGGGACGTGGGTGAGCGCGGGCGTGAGTACCCTGTGAGGCCACAGGTGTGCACAGCAGAGCTGGAGAGGAGACGGCAGGGCGGTGACGGTGTTGGTGACGGGGTGGGGTGTGCCAGCGTCCCTGCTAAGGAATTACTCCTGTCTGTGACAGGCTGGGAAACAAATACTGGGTGATGGGATGGTATCTCCCCCTGCACCTGAGTTCATGAACTTTCTCTCATTGCCCTCTGACACCCTGGGAATGAAGCATTATTATCGAGGCTCAGAGAGGTCAAGTAGTTCACTGAAGGTCACAGAAGCAAGAAAGGGGACTAATTGGACTCAAACCCAGGGCTGTGATACGATATGGTCTGAACAACTGTGTCCCCCAAAGTCCCTATGCTGAAATCCTAATGATGGTATCGGCAGGTGGGGCCTTTGGGAGGTGACCAGGTCATGAGGGTGAAGCCCTCATGAACAGGAGTGGTGGCCTTATAAAAGAGGCCTGGGGGGGCTTGTTGGACCCTTCCACGGTATAAGGACACAGGAAGAAGGCACCGTCTCCGAGGAAATGGGGCCTTCCCAGACACCAGATCTGCCAGTGCCTTGATCGTGGACTTCCCAGCCTCCAGAACCCAGGCTGTGGCATTTGGTCATAGCAGCCCCAATGGGCTAAGACAGGATCCTAACATCTATCCACTCGGTCCCACCATTCCTGCTGGGAAGCTGCCATCAGAGGGAAAACACAAGACAGGCAGAGGCAGGAGAAAGGACAGGAGGAGGCCCGAGAGGGGGTCAGATTTGGCGCAGATGGCCTTGTCTGACAGTAAGAGGTGGCCCTGGACACTCCTGGAGCAGCCCCTGGGTTAAGGGGCCACACCGCCCACCCGCCTCTCTCTTCTCTCAGCTCACGCCTCCACTGAGGCTGGCCTGGGCCACTGAAGGCCGGTCACAGCCAAGCAGCAGTAGTGACACGCTCCACATCGGGGAGGCACATGCTACGCCCTGGTCTGGGGCTGAGACAGGACACACTTAAAAATACACAGCCGCAGCCTGCAGCCTGGGAGGAAGCTGCCTGCCACGTGGTCGCCAGGATGGAGGCGGCTGTCAGAAGCCATCGAAACCGGCGCCTCGCAGACACCAGGAACACCTGCGCACAGGGGCCGAAGACAGGTCTGCAGAGCGTCCTGGGGGACAAAGGCTTTCCAGAGTCTGTCTACCGCAGAGGACGCCTGTCTGCACCAGCAGAGGAGCCCGGCCCCAGGCTATGCAAAGAAACCCACTTTGCGGTGCATCCCAGTAAGGGCGGCAGCGCCTTGCTCGCTGCAGCCACGCAACTGCTTTAGTGCACAACTGCAGGCGTGTGTGCCACACTGCGACAAAGGGCCCAGGTTTTGGGGTCGGGCAAACACCGAGGCTACCGCTCTGGGTTTGCTTCTTGTTCTTGGGGGGGCGGGGCTGGGCTGTGTCTCACTGTAAAATAGATCAGTCTGTGCCCTTTGGAACCACTGTGAGGGGTCAAATGAAATGGCAATGGAGGAAGCTCCTGGCACAGAATTTGCACGCGGGCATCACAGCCACACCACAACACTCTGGGTGGAACCGCGAAGTCTCCTAGACGGCAAAGATACGCTCCCCAGGGCCACCCTCCTGGCTTGTGGTGCCATGCCACACTTCCCCACCGAGCCTCCCCGCCAGGGGTGCTTTACAGAAAGGATTTCTGGGGGCGGCGGCGGTTCTCCCGGCACTGCCCGGCGTACCTTCTTTGTCAGCGCTTTGGGGAGGGTTCCGAAATGGGGCTCTGCCGCTCTGTCCACCGGGTTGTTGATGTCCGACGGGACTGACTCCGTCCTCCGAAGCCTTGTTACTGTTGGAACAGGGGGGACCCGTCAGCAGGGCGCAGACCAAGCTAAAGGAAGCTCACCCCCAGATCCAGAAGGCAGAGGAGAGGGAGCACAGAGAACTCACGTGGAAGGAAGGATATTCTGCAGGCGGGGGCTTCTTTTGTACACTTGTTGTGACACTTCAACCTGGTGAAGGAGGGCAAGGGCAAGGTCAGGGTGCGGGGCCACGCCGGGGCATGGCCTGGGCAGGTGGCTGACATCGAGAGTGACAGCAGCCACGCCCTGTTGAGCACTGGTCACGTGCTGCTGTCATCTACCCAGTCCTCGCAGCACAGCAGGTTTAATTATGCCCATCTAACTTGTCACAGGTCACATATCTATCTTCCCTTTCTAAGAAAAAGAGACCCTCTACCTACATGCAGAAGGCTCGAGATAAAGCTGAACTTATATAAAAAAAAGTCAGAAGGTGAATGTTGGCATCCCAAAGGCCCCCAGGGGTCCAGAGGGCAGCCCCTCCTGCCACGGTCAAGCACTGGGCTGTGCAGTGTGAGGGTCAGGAGTGGACACAGCCGGGTTCTTGTTTTGGCCTGTCAACTGCTCTGAATCTCGTTGATACAACAGAGATGTATCTGTTGTATCCGCCCACCCCACGTGCGCGCAGGCCAGCGTGGGCTTTCTGTGCTCTCCACCAGAAAGCCACAGTTGAATGGGAGCTGGCAGTCCCTCATTCAAAGCTAAGTGGCCTGGAACCACAGGAGAGTTAGACTGGAGAGAAAACTCCAGCATCTCGCTGGAGGGCAGCAGAGCTGTCAGGAAAACAAGATCTATCAGGGTGATACGCACAAGACCCAGCACCTGGAGTCTGCCCGGAGCCCCAGTGCATGAACACGTTCTAGCTCAGACTCTCAGAGCAACCTCAGTGGAGTCATCTTCTCAGGTGTATACATAAGACATGAGGCCCAGAAAGGGCAAGCACCTTGCCCCAGGTCACACAGTAATGCAGGGGCAAAGTGGGAACCAAGACTCTACGGCCACTGTTTGTAAGATGAGGACAGCCAGATGGCAGAGGACCAGACTCTGCTCAGCCCACACTGTCCCCTGTCCTCGCCCTTCTTTCCCCCCAGAAACCACAATGGTATGAGAAGAAAAGTTTGATTTGTATAAAATTCACATTCTCTCGCTCTCCCCTTCTATAAGCCAGAGCTCTGTTTTTACCATGGTCTATCCCCCCACGTCCCAGCTAAACTATAAGGGTAAACTTCAGAACTCCGTACAGTTCCCACAACAGTCCTCAAATTCCTCCCTGCCTTTGTACATGATGCTCCCTTGGCCTGGAATTCTCTTTCCCCCCTGATCTACCTTATAAACTTCTATTCATCCTTCAAAACCCACCTCAAATATTCCCTTCTTCCAGGAACACCTTGCTTAATCTCCCTGGAGAGGCCTGATCACTCCCCAGTGTGCTGAATGGGATTATGAATAGTAGTAGGTTTAGGAGAATTCCTCTTAACTCTGACTTACTAAACCGAAAGTGTTTGCTCCCGCACCCCACCTTCCGCCCATCACCTGCAATGCTTGCACTTCACTCCAAACATCATGCTTTTCTGGCACACGTGGCAGACTTGCGACAGCCAGGACTTCGTGGAGAACCTGCAGGGGGTGGACACATACACATGCTCACACGGCCCAGGAACCCAGGGCCCGGCCACAGAAGGGTTCCCACACAGCTCCGGGGAAACGCAGAGTCCTGCTCCATCCCAGAGCCTCAGGAGCCCTCTCCCAGGAAGGCAGGACACCCGGGGGCCACTGCTTCCCCCCAGGCATGTAGCTTTCCCAGCCACAAAGCCTTCACTATCAATATCCTAGAGTTCACGGGGTCACTGATACCAAATTTGGCAATAGCAATCAAAACTACAAAGTGTGCATACCCTTTGACCCAGCAATTCCAGTCTTACAAATTTATTCAACAGATACTATAACAGGTGTCAAAAGACATATGGACAAGGTACATCTGTGGCAGGTTTGTAGCCATAAAAGACTGGAAATAACCTATACATTCATCAGTAGGGCACAAACTACAGCATGGTTCATACATACAACGGAACACCTCACAGCCAGCAAATAAGGACACTCCTTTTGTGCAAGTGTGCAATAATCTCCAAATCACACTGTCAAGTAAATAAATGTACAATATGATATGATCCCATTTATATACAGGAAAAACTAATCTATAATGACAAAAGTGACTAGTAACCACTTGATGGTAGTAGCACTACCAACTAGGAAGTGCCAAAGGTAACTTTCTGGGGCGCCAGAATGTTCTAAATCTTCTGGATGTGTGCATGATGCATGCATGTATATAAAAATTCATTTGTGCATTTTGCTCCATATAGATATCTCAATTTTTATAAAAAGCTAAGTATAGAGCAGTGTGTGTATAACATATGTAGCATTCATGTAGAATAAAAGGAGAATGAACATATACACATTATTTGTATAAAACACCTCCAGAAAAATACACGAGAAACTGCTAAGTCCTGTCTATAGGAGGAGCTACGAGCTGGGGACAGGAATGAGAGGGGCCTTCTCTCTATATATACCCTTTGAATTTTGAATATATGCATGTATTTTCAATTCAAAATTTAAAAAATAAAAAACCACAAAAGATAGAGCGGAAGGAGTGATGGGGGTTGAGTGTGCCCACAGGGTTGGCAGGCCTAAGAGCGGGAAGAGCCCATATTTTTTGAGGAATAGATTTGTTTAAAGCATAGTATATCACAGTAACAACAGAATGAACACCAACAACATCGGGGGAGTAACTGGTAATGCATCCACTGACGCTTGATTCTTGCAACCGCCCTGGGGAGTCTGGCAGGTCCAGGATCTTAGCACACAGGCAAGGGAAGCAGCTCTGAGAGCTTAGGTGACGTTCCTGAGGTCACACAGGTGGGACGCTGTGCGGCAGGGCTGGCGCCCAGGTCTCTGAACTCAGCGTTACAGAGCTTCTCTGCAGCAGAGGCCAAAGGAAGCCTTGAGCAGGAGCAAGCATACCAGCTTCGGGCTCATAGCAAGCCTGCTGCAGGCTGCAGGATGCCTCGGAGCCCCTGTAACAGGGCTGTCACTCACCCGCACAGGGATCTGGGGACAGCCACACACATGCTGTGCACGTGTGTAGTGCCTGGAAGGTAGAAAGACCTTCCATGAATGTCACTGCCCCCCCCCAACTTCTGGTGGCAAAGGACGGCCACCTGCCTGGAGTGCCCAATCCAATCTCCCCGGAACCCGGGTTTGTGTAAGCAAGCATGCTTTCTCTTTCTCTCGCGCTCTCCTTGGATGTTAATTGCCTCTCACGTCAACATTGGGGGTGACGGGGGGCAAGAGGGGTGCCTGAGATGATCTCCACTGGGAGATCTTGAAAATAAGTCTAAATGACAGTCAGATCTGGGACTAAGCAGAGGCAGGTACCTGGGCAACACAGCGAGCCCCATCTCTAAACAAACAAACAAATGAATAAATACATAAATATACACATACATACATGGTAAAAACCAAGAATGGTGTGACCATGACCTCACCTCCTCAAGCCCAGAACCCAGCGAGGGGAGGCGTGGGGCAGCCTGGCAAGGCTGCGGCCACACTTGGAGGCTGAAACTGGCCGCCACAGGTGGAGGGGAAAGTAGCCTGGGAGACATTTGGGGACAAGCTAGCTCAGCCGAGGATCCTCTGTGAAATGGGGCAACCTGCCAGCCCCGGCGGCCCTCAGTGTCAGCCCCTCTGGGTGCTAGAGCCCGAGGTTAAATACCAAGCACTCGCCACTGCTGGACACTCGAAGCTCACATGCACATTACCCCATTTTATGCTCATGATGGGACTGGAAGGTATCAGCATTCCATTTGCAGAGGGGGAAACTGAGGCTTGGAGCAGTTACTGCCTACAGGTGTGCAGCTCATCAGGGGAAGAGTAGGTGCCCAGTATCAAAGGTCCTATTCTTGGCAGTTCTCTCCCAGCCCTTGGAAGATCGCACCTGACACCTCAGGTGTGGCAGAGGGACACACTGTGACCTTTGCTCCAAGAGCCCTATCCTAGTTGGCTGCTGGCACCTTGGACCCTCCTCCCCGAGGCTCTGGGGAACAGGCATCCTAGCCCTGACAAGGCACCAAACAGGTCCTGGGCACCTCTTGGGCTCAATCAAGCACTGTCTTACTGGCAGTGTGACCTCAGACAAGTTACTCAACCCTTGGGAGCCTGGGTGTCACCCTCTGGGGTGAGAATTCCAGGCCTGCCTCCCGCACAAGCTGGAGAGCAACTCACGCTCGCTGGGGGAAACGCAAGGCCCTGGCATGTTGTGACGCTGCGGCACTCCCTGTTGCATTTACAACAGCCTTTGACAGGGACAGCCAGAGCACGGGCATCCCAAGGCACTTACCTGCCGGTGATGAGACGCCACCCAGACCTGCTGCTGCCAGCACACACCGCCCTAAGGAGCCAAGGCCCCTGGCAGTCCCCGTCACGGGGCCATATCCACCCTCCCCAATATGTACGAGCATCAAAGACCCTGCAGAGCTTGTTAAAATCCAGATTGCCAAGGCCGGGCCCGGTAGCTCACGCCTGTAATCCTAGCACTCTGGGGGGCTGAGGCGGGAGGATTGCTCTAGGTCAGAAGTTCGAGACCAGCCCAAGCAAGAGTGAGACTCTGTCTCTACTAAAAGTAGAAGGAAATTAGCTGGACAACTAAAAATATATATATATAGAAAAAATTAGCCGAGTGTGGTGGCACGTGCCTGTAGTCCCACCTACTCGGGAGGCTGAGGCAGGAGGATCACCTGAGCCCACAAGTTTGAGGCTGCTGTTAGGCTGACGCCACGGCACTCTAGCCCAGGCAACAAAGTGAGACTCTGTCTCAAAAAAGACAAAAAAAAATCCAGATTGCCAGGCTGAGAGCCTCGGGGATAGGGCCTGGGAATCTGGATTTTCAGCGAACTCTAGCGGGGACTCTGAAGTGCAGAGTTGTGGGACCCGCACGGCGTCACACTGGGTGCAGAGGAAGCTCTTGGCTCCTCCGTATGGCTCCTGGGAAAGGAGGAGAGTGACGTCCCCCAGCAGAGCGAGGAGGAGACCCAAGGAGGGGCAGGCGAGGGACCAGCAAGCCCACGTGGCCGCCAGTGACAACGCAGGGGCTCCAGGTGGGTGCAGGGCTGAGTCCCAGTGAGGAGACAGACAGGCTGAACAGAGGCAAGGAGTCCAGGGAAACAGCGGCAGGGACAGATCCCCTACCTCAGTGGGGGCACCCAGCCCCGCAGCCCTCCCCACCAGGCCGGCCGGGCCTACCTGTGTGTCACCGAGAGCCCGATGTCCCTTCGTACCATCTGTGGGGATCCGTGCAGGAGATCTGCGAGGAAAGGAGCCAGGTTGGGCAGGCTGCAGAAGCCCTGCGCGGGACGGTTCGTGCCTGCGGCCTCCCATGTCAGAGGTCACAGGCCGGATGGGGGATGGCAATTTATCACACGCTAGAAAACCATGTCCCTGAACCTACGTCTATCAAAACAGGGGCTGGCCAAGCGAGACCCGTGGAGTGGCATGGCTTCCTTCTCTAGGGACCGTCACTGCCTGGCCTCTGCAGGCAGCTCGGGTTGCCGTCCCTGTGCGGTTTCTGGCACAGGTGGAAGGCGGGCTAGAGAGGCAGAAGCCAGAGCAAAGGTGAGGGGAGCAGTTTCCACACACCCCAGCTCTTGCACTCTCTCACCAACACACCCACAGGCCACCTGCTTGCAAAGGCTTGAGCCTGTCACAGCTGATCCTGGCATGACATGAGTTTAATTTGCACATGTCCACCGGTATGTGGATTTTTTTCTGCTTCTGCCACCCCTGAGATGAAAGACCAACCCTCCTCTTCCTCAGCCTACAGAACATGAAGACTACAAGGATAAAGACCTTTATCATGCTCTGTTGCCACTTAATAAATAGTATGATTTTTTCTTCCTTATGATTTTTCTAAACATTATTTTCTTTTCTCCAGCTTACTTTACTGTAAAAATGCAATACATAACACACATAACATAAAATGTGTGTTCATCAAATGTTTATGCTATAGGTAAGCCATCCAGTCAAGAGTAGTTAGGTTTTGGGGAGATCAAAGGTTATATACAAATTTCTGACTGCACGGGGGCAGGGGTCAGTGCCCCTAACCCCATTGTTGTTCAGAAGTCAACCATACGTGTTAAGTGGGTAGAAGATGCTTGATCGTTGAAGGGGAGTCTGGGGCTAGTACGTTCCCAGCCTGAAACACCTCGAGAACATTCCTCCGACAGCCACCACTGGCAGGTCTTGGCAGGTAGAGGACAAGGGGAAGGTTTACCACACTCCCACCCGGGCCAGCCCTACCCAAGTGCCACAGTCTGAGCCTCTGGGGATGTCTCAGGAACCTTCTTTCTCTGCTGCAAAAAGAGCCACGAGCTTTGAGGTGCCCCTACTGCTTGACTTCCTGGAGGGCTTCGTGGACGCCCCCTCTCCTGACCTGGGCTTCCCCGAGGGAACAGGTGTCTCCCACGTTGATGGCATTACAGGCTCGGCAGTGAGGAGCAGCCATCCACTGGCGGCCCACGTGTCCAACTCACGCCCCAAACTCAGCGCTGTGTCCCCCAAAAACGCATGGACAGGCGTCAGGGACCTGGGGACCCTCCGCACTGGCCAGCAGAACACTGTGGGCTTTTCCCTGGAAAGCCAGTTCTAGACTGTCCTGTGCTGGAGTGACCTGTGGGCACACATGCTGTGTCCTCTACATCAGAAGGCCCCCTGAGGGCTGGCCCAGCACACAGCTGGTGCTCATTAAGTGCTGGTTCACATACGGCCAAGGACGACACACCCCACCTGAAGGCGAAGGGCGTGGTGCAGGTGCTACTGCCTCCGCCCATGCCACGGGGAGCGTGATCAGCACCCAAAGGCCCTCTGCCCACTCCCTGCTCGGGAACCCGCAGGGGTCGCACCCGCAGCTCTGGCACGCGTGCATGGGGCGGACTTACCCCCAGTCCCTCCCGGGGCCCACCCCAACCCAGTCGGCAGCCAAAGCCTCAAAGCACAAGGGGCTGCAAGGGGTTGCTGCCAGCCTGAGAAAACAGACTATGAGAAAATGAGAGGTCAGCCGCCCAGCTCTGGAAGCGAGCTGTGATGTGTGACGTCTGCCCAAGCAGGGGCCCGGGCAGGGAGGTGGTACGGGTGCCGGGTGTCGCCTCTCCCGGATCTGGATGGAAATACTGGCCCTGAAGGCCTATCAGCCTCGCTGCGGTCCCTGCATTACTATGGCGACTGGAGGGATGGGCTGCCCTAGGGACGGAGCTGCTGGATTCTCCTCCAAGGCTCTGGTAAGGGCCCTGGGAGCTTCCGCCCGTGTCCTGGAGAAGAAAGTGTAGCTGCTCTCCTTCCTCACCCCGTAACACCCTGGGGTGCCTGCAGCCATTTCAGCGTCGTCACTGCCTACTGTGCCCCTGCCCGTCCCCACGACCCCACACACAGCTGCGTTGCTCTCCTCTGTCAGCTCAGGGTAGTATGAACATACGCTGCTATTTTGTTCAAAAACCAGGTGTCTCTGCATTTCCACTCAATTAAAAGCAGGCCGCAGAGGCACGGCTGCTCCCTCTGCTTGGGTTCATGAGAGAGAAGCCGCACAGCCCGGCGACATGCAGGAAGCTGTTCCCAGCCTGAGCTGGAGGGTGGAAGAGGGGACCAGGGCGTCCTGGCATCCTCCTCCCCACCCTAAGGGGCACCTGCACCCTCCCATCCATCCCGGCCTCGTTCAGGGCTGAGCCGCACCCCTGCCTCCAGGAGTGCCCCTCCTGGACAGAAGGGTCCTAAGACGTCAGGTGGGGTTCCAGGGTGGCTGAAGTCCACCTAAACCAGACGGGTGGCATCTCCCTCCCAGAAGCACTGCTTTACGTGGCAGCCCAGCGGGCAAGTGTCCCTGCCAGAGAGGTCACCGTAGGTCACTGTGGGCTGGCAAGGCAGAGATGGGCTGCTCATGGACCATGACACTCTCGAGGTCCCGGCTTCTCAGAGAGCAGCTGCCGGCTGGGCTGAAGCCAGCCTGTCACTTTAAGGCCACCTGTCTTGGGGCTATTTCCTGAGGCGGTTACCAGCACCTCTGCTTCTGGACTATGGGAACAGAGGGTCAAAGAAATCCACCCCCGATGGGGACAGCAACACAAACACGACTCTTGGGTGGCAGAGGGGACGGAAATGAATCACTCTTACCAAACCTGGAGGAGACAAAAAAGAGAAAGGGGATTATGTCACCATGCTGACTCGGCATGTTCCTAGAATGTTACCCTTGGGAGGGACAGGCAAGGGGATGGAACGTGGGACTCTGAGGCCTGGCTTGGGGCCAGGCTGGCCCAGTGGCTGTGGGAACCCCTGCCATCCCATGGGGATGTTTCCTCGAGGGCAGGGGCTAGAAGGCGTTCCCTGGGACACCAGCTTATCTGAGCCTCGCCAGCCACCAAGCATGGCAATTAGAGCTCACCCCACGTCACAGCTAGGGAAACTGAGGCTCATGAGTGGGAGAGCTCTGCCTAGGTTCCAGCCAGAGAAGGGGTCAGTGCACTGGAGATGGGTGGCTGGGCAGGATGGCAGGAGGGGCAGCCTGCTAAGCAGAGATGTGGCCCCTGCAAGAAGAGTCAGGGAGGGACACACCCTGAGCAGTGCCCACCCTAGGGCTGCCACTGGCCCTAGAGGTGCAGGGAGCAGGGAGGAGCCAAGACACTCAGTCTGCCCTTAAGCCAGTAACCATGGCAGGTCACACCTGGATTTCTCCTCCTTAGACAGCACACTCGAAGCCATCAGACCTGTCCAGAGTCCATGCCATGAAGGCCTGAGACAGCTGCACTGGGACAGGGAGAACAGGCCCATCCCACCAAAGGTGACTCCAAGGCTCAAGACAGACCAGGCAGGGCCCAGGGAAAGCCCCATAAAAGTGTATGCCCATGTCGAGGAGGTGTCCCAACCCACAGGGGTATAAGAAAGTCAGAGGCACCCAAAGAAAACACCCCTTGTCTTCTATTCTGCCCACAAGGGTATATTGCCAAGGACAATCTTTATAATAGCAAAAACAGACAATGATCTAAGTGCCCATCAACAGGGCACAAGTTAAACTATACAATGGAATGATATGGACAAGTTAAAACAAAATGAGGTTGTTTGAATAATTACAGATATAATACAAAACTGGTAACTTGGTTGGCTTCTGAAAGGTGAACCGGGTGACTGAGTAGAAATGGTAAGGGGCAGACTTTTTACTGTGTACCCTGCAGAAACAGAAAGATATAAGGCACAGAACTGTTGCATTTTGGACGATGTGACTGTCTCAACTTATTCAAAATACATAGATAGAAAACCTTTTAAGTCAAAAAATAAATAAAAGAGTAAGGTGTTTCAAGAAACTGACGTGACACTCTCAGAAATATCAAGGTAAGTCGAAAGGACAGGTCACAGGGCAGAGCGCATGGTATTTGACAGTCACTGGTGGTTTTAGCCAAACGTTCCAGTTCTCCCCTTCCGGACACATGAGAGAACTGCATTGCTCAATCCCTTGTCTGGGTAGGGCCATGAATTATGAGTGTAACATCTAGGAAAGAGTACTCCATTTCCAGGGCACGACACCCAGAATTCGCTTTTCTCTCTGCCACCAGCCACACTCAGGACAGTGGCTATTGTGTCAGCGTGGGCCCGGGCAGAAGGCTGACCCACAATGGGCAGGTAGCATGAGTGAGAAATAGATCTTTGTCATTTTAAGACCCAGAGATTTGGAGGTTGTTTGTTACTGCGGCATAACCCAGCCTGCCCTGACTGATACATGGCATCATTTCATGTGTATGTATGCACGGAACAAAATCTAGGCAGATGCAGCCCAAATTGCCAAGGGAGTCTGGGGACTGGACTGAGAGACGGGGGCACCTTTTACTTTTTACTTCACACACTTCTACATTGGTTGATTCTGTGTGTCCCTTTTATAAACCCTGACAACAAGGAAACGGCCGCCAAAGCTGCGTGGCAGGAGCACTCACCTCCCCGGGGCGACGTCGTCGATGCGGTTCCCCAGCTGGGACTCGTGGGACTTGCTCCTGGTGAGCGTGGGGAAGCTGGGCAGCAGCTGGAAGACCTTGCGGCTGGGCGGCGGGGGCGTCCGCGGCGGCCTCAGCTTGGCGTGCCGGCGCAGCTGCGGCGTGGTGGGCGGGGTGAGGAAGCTGTGCAGGGCGCGGGGCGTGAGCCGGCCGCTGGCGTGCAGGGGGACACAGGTGTCCGAGAGGCCCTCGCTGAGGCCAGGGGCCGGCAAGTCCGAGGCGGGCAGAGCCGACACGGAGACGGAGCGCGGGCCCTGGGCGCCGTTGCCCACTCTGCCCAGCGCGGCGCTGCCCGGGGGCCAGGCCAGGCCGGCCGGAGGGAGGGTGTCCGTGGGGGGCCCCGAGCCGCTTTCCCGCCGAGCGTCGGACATGCTCCAGCCCGAGTCCTCTTTGTGCTCCCCTCCTGTGGGCCGAGAAGTCGAGTCACAGGTGGTTTTGGCGAGAAGGCGCTTCCAGGCGAGGTGACAAGGGGCCAGAGAGGTTAAACACCGTGGGCGAGGAGTCACCTTTCCTTAATGGAAGGCTTCGACTACCAGCCTGTGGCCGGCTCAGAAAGGCCTCTCCTGCACACACGTCATCTTCCGCGCTATTTTGCTGACCGTGGGGCCACCGGGGCAGACATTACTACAGGGTGCGTAGCCCTAATCTGAAATCCAAATGCTCCCAAATCGGAAACTATTAACATTTCAGCACCAACATGACGCTCACAGGGAATGCGCACTGCAGCACAGCGGATTTGGGGGTTATAGGTGCTGATAAAGGCAAATACCCCCAAACCAGAGAAAACCCAAAACCTTCTGATCTCAAGCATTGCAGAGAAGGGACACTCGCTCTGCATCTGTTTTACAGAGGAGGAGACAAGGCCCAGAGAGGCAGGGCCTGTGCGGGGCTCTTCCCGGCAGGTTAAGGGGGACAAGCTGGGAAAGCCACCCCAGAAGTGGGAGACTCAGAGGGAATGGCAACTGTCCTCAATGGCAATGGTCCTCAGGGAAGGGTAAAGCTGAGTGTGTAAAGGGAGGGAAAACGCCACTTCAAGAAAATTCAAATGTCAGGACAAGGGGCTGCCCTGACCTTCGGATAGCAAATTGTCCTGGGGCTTGTGAAAAAGGGTCCAGATAGAAATGGATCGACAGCCACTCCCTTCTGAGAAGAGCCCCCCGAGTGACTTTCAGCTGCCCCCACCATGGCCCCTGCCCCAGGCTCCCAAGACCTTGAGACCCGTGGGGCTCAAACTCAATTGCACAGGCTGGCTGTTCACTCAAGCATATGCCTAAAAAGGACACACGCCCTGTACTTGAAGAGTCCGATGGGAGTGACAGACACACAAGAGCATGCTGTGTCCCAGGACAGAGACACAAGGGGGCTCTGTGGAGGAGTGGGGGCTGGCCAGGGAAGGCTTCCCCAAGGAGGTGGTGCCTGGGCTGACCAGCTCAGGAAGAAGGTGCAGAAGGTACTCCAGGCAGAGGGGACAGCACATGCACAGTAGGAGAGCACGTGACACCTGCTGATGACGGTTGGAAAAGCCAGGGGGAGGCAAGAGATGAAGTCAGAGGGGTCACCCCAGCTGGGGCCACTCAGGAAGGGCCTGGAATGTCTCATCAGGGACTTCAGACACAGAAGGGTTGAGGGCAGGGAGAAGGGACTCCATCCGAAGAGACCCAAGAGGCTGTCATGGGGAAGGAGAAGACATCCCCCTCCTCTCCTATCTACCAGTGAGTGGACAGTGCAGGAAGGCAGATTTTGACTCAAGACAAAAGGAGCCTCCACGTTACATGCACACATACCCCGCCTCCCTCCACCCTCCCGCCAGGCCCGTTCTTCTCCCTGGTGTTCAGCGGAGGTTGCTGAGACTCAGAGAGGCCACGGGACTGAGACAGCGGTGGGATGGGAATTGAAAACCTCAATTTCAGCACATGCCCCCTCCCGCAATGCCGGCGACTTTGAATGACCCACAGTGGAACAGCACTGGGAGTAACAAGCTCTCTGTCCTCAAAGGTGGTGGGGCCATTTACCAGGGGTGGTGGGGAGGGTTTAGCCTTCACAATTCGTAAGGCTCTTCTGTACATCCACCCCCTTTTCCAATCCCTTCCCTGTCACTGCATGGTGACTTTCTATCCATGGATCAACGGGGCAGGACGAGGTGCTCAGTCTCTGTGCTCCTATGCTACTTGCTGCTTTGGAACTGCAGCCTCGACTTACACTGTAGCTTACACACTGGCCTGCTGGAGGCACTGAACATGTTTCTTAGTGAGTGGATGAAAGAATGAATTTCATGAATCTGTGAGCAAGTCTGCCACCCAAGGAAACACCCCCCCCCAAGTCTTCACATTGTCTATTTAATCACCATGGCTTTGGGCCAACACAGGGATGGCAGATGGGTCTTGATGTGGGTGCCGACCCCAGTCAACCTGCACGGGGGTGCTTGTGAATGAATCTGGAGTCGCTCTTCGTGGATTGACTAGTGATGTCTGCTACAGTGAAAGACGGGGATCGGCAGGAATGATCGGCCCCTATTCAGCAGCACAGGGAACCTCCTCCACTCACCTTCCTTAAGACCAGGGACCACAAGGAAGTGACGTCAACATTTTCCATCACCCCACGGGCCTAATATTGAAAAGAGCATCTAATATGTGCCAGGTTCTGGTCTAAGCACTTTACCTTAACTCATTTCATCCTCGCTACAACCCTTAGAGAGAGGTGGTGCTATTACCTCCGTTTTGCAGATGAGGAAACTGAGGCACAGTGAGATGAAGGAAGTGGCCAAGGTGTCACAGGTTAAAGTGGCTGAGCAGAGTGCTGGCCCAGGCAGTCTGACTGCACAGCCCATCTTTGCTGTGAGCAGAACACCCTCACCTGGCCTTGCTGGGTTGCAAAAAAGATGCTCTGACTACATGACCCGACAGATGGGGGTCACTGCTGCCCACCTAGTCCGCAGCAGGTACCCATGAAGTGCGACCACTGCTGGGCAGACGAAAGGCCTCTGCCTGGGACTGCAATGTGGCCAGGACTCTCTTGAGGATGCAGGGACACAAGCTGAGACTGCATGGGAAAGAAGAAACCTGGAAAAGGTCTGTCCCTGAGGGGCCTCCTCCTGGGCTTGGTGGAAAAAGCACCCTGTGGGTTCAAAGCCCAGCTCTGCCCTGCGGCAGGTGTGGGATCCCAGGTGACTCACCCAACGCCTCCAACGGCCAGGTGTCTTAGCTACAAAATGAGCTTAGCACCACCTCTTAATAAGGTGCAGCCACAGTGTGTGTGGCACATGCCTGGCACACAGTAGGTGCTTAATAAGTTAACGATCTCCCTGTCTCGGCATCTGGGACGGGCAGAGAGCAGCCTTCATGACACAGATGGGTCACTACCACTCGACAGCTGCTCCCCTCACAATTCTTTAAGATCCAGGCATAAGATGGGAGGGAGGGAGGGCTGACGAGCTACCCCAGAGATCCCAGCTTGGGTGGCAGCGTGGGAACAACCCCATCTCTATCACAGCTCGAGGCTCAAATCCCCACTGCTGCATGTCCCTTGACCAAGCCCCGTCCCCTCCCTGGGCTGAGTCTCCTCCATGAAATGTGGGCATGAGAATGCTGGCCACGCCTCTGTCACACTTATCTCTAGCACCTGCTGGGAGGCCTGGCATGTCAAGATTGTCTGAATTGAGTGAAAGGCTCTACACTGCTCCATGCTGAGAGGACTTGAGACAATGGGGCCGGGGAAGAAATGAAGCCCAGTCCTCTCTGCGAAGAAAACAGTCAAGTAGAATATAAACCTCAGTGCCCTCCTTTTAAGCCTCAGGCAGCTGGAGATAAGAGGCTCAGATAATTAAAAATTGGACCTAATTCCATTCATTAGGCTCATTTTAATGCCTTATCTGTGTAGTAGCAGGAGCATTAAGTCAGGCACTTGACGCTATTTCCAAGGCAAGATGTAGACCGCCTGCAAGTAATTCCAGGGACCTCATCACAATGCCAGGGACACATACACTTTGCCCGGGACAGCCATGCACATGCTCCCAGCTGAAAAACCACACGGTGTCTCTAAGCACGCGTGGCTCAGGCTGCCCCACATCAGCGTGTGCCTCTGGAGAGCAGAGCCCAGCCGGCCAGTGGGACAGGAGAAGGTGGGGCAAGGGCTGGGGGCCGGAATGCAGGAAGCTAGTGGAGGGTACACAGAGCCCTCCGAGGATGGAAAATCACACAGGACCAGCCCAGCAGACCGGCCTGGGATTTCCAGCAATCACTAAAGCCTCTCGGAGTTCAGACTGGCCAGACCGACCCAGATCCAGAGCCCCGGGACTGTGGGGGAGGCTCCCTCTTAGACAGGCCCATCTGAACATCCACCCTGGCCTGTGCGAGCTGCCCCAGAAACCCTGGGCCACACGTACCCCGCCCCATCGCCCGCTGCGGGCAGAGGCCCCGGCCCCAGGGAACCAGGCCAGGCTGGGCTGCAGGGAGAGGGAGTTCCCACCTACCCAGGCCCGGCACCTTCCGCAGGCAGGTGAGGGCGTACTGCAGGCGGCCGCACTCCTCGGCGCTGGCCCCGCAGCGCCGCAGCGTGTCCTTGACCTTGGCCTCGTTCATCTCCAGCAGGGCATCCAGCGTGAGCTCGCAGGGGATCTCCTGAGGGGCACGGAGGGACGGAGGGACAGGGGAGAGGCGGTGAGCAGTCGGCAGACCAGGAGGCCCCTTCCCCTGAAGGCTGGCCTCCCGCTGAGTGGCAGGGGCCAGCTGCTGCCACCAGAGCCACCACGTGCTTGAGGACACAGGCGGAGAGCCCTCCCCCCACCCTTGGTGCTCCCAGAGACGGCAGCTGAAGGGACTCGGGGTGGGGAAGAAGAAAAAGCCTGAAAGGTTTTGACGACAGCATGCTGTCCCCCCTCGCTTCTTCATATTCTTCTGCAAAGGAAAATTGTGAACCATGACAATTTTTCAGAGTGACAGGTACTCCGGACAAAGATGGCCCTTAACAATTTTGTTGTATGAGAATCAGACAAGAGAGATTTCAAATAAAACTGGCTCAAACAAGGGAAGGACTAAAAAACCCTTGCCAAGCACTGCAGAGACACTTACTATGCCGCATTATTTAACTGTCGAAGCCTCTCGCCCGGCCCACTTGACAGCTGAAGGAAGAGGTGCAGACACAAGGGGGCTTGTGTCACCTGTACAAGGTCACTGGGCCCTCAGGGCAAGAAGGTAACAGGCAGAATTTTAAGGTGGCCTCTGACCCGAGTCCCCCAGTGTCACTCATGATTACATTACAGTGCGGCCGTCCCCACACCCCATCGACCGTTTTGCTTTCTGCAACTTCAGTTACCTGCGGTCAACTGTGGTCCAAAACTAAGTGGAAAATTCCAGAAATACTCCAGAAATAAACAACTCGTAAGTTTTAAATTACACGCCGTTTAGAGTAGCGTGATGAAATCCCACACTGTCCCACCCAGGGCATGAATCATCCCTTTGTCCAGCGTATCCATGCTGTCTCCACTCCCCGCCTGTCGGTCACTCAGCCACGCTGGTTATCAGATCCACTGTCTCGGTATCTCATCACCTAGGCATTTATCATCTCACATCATCACAAGAAGAAAGATGAGCACAGGATGGTACAAGAGTGAGAGTGAGAGTGAGAGTGAGAGAGAGAGAGACAGACAGACAGATACCACATTCACCTGACTCTTACTACAGTATATCATAATTGTTATTTTATTATTAGTTACTGTTAATCTCTTACTGTGCCTGATTTATAAACTTTATCAGAGGTATGTATAGGAAAAAACATAGCGTAGCGTATATAGGGTTCAGTACTATTTGTGGTTTCAGGCATTCATTGTGCTCTTGAAACGTATCCCCTGGATGCCGGGTGACTGCTCTATCCCCTGGATAAGGGGTGGCTGCTGTATATGGCAAGAGGAAAACTGCCCAAGTAGGCTTGATCGAATCACAAACCCTTCAAAAGCAAAGGGTTTTCTCTGGCTAGTAGCAGAGACGTCTTCAGAGGCTGGCAGCATGACAAGGACTTTGAAGGAGGAGGGGGCCACATAAGAAGGAATCCAGGTAGCCTCGAGGAGAGAGTGGTCCCCAGCCGACAGGGAGTAGGGACTTCAGACCTGTAGCCACAAGGAACTGGATTCTGTCAAAAACCTGAATGAACTTGGAAGTGGAT